GATTTACACGCAAAATAGCATTATTAAATAACTCACACAGTCCCTCACACTTTCAGCACTGAGAGAGAAAAATGGTTGATCTAACTAAAGTTGCGGTTATATTTTTCGGCTGTGCTAGCACGAAAATGCTGGCGCACTGAGAGAAAAAAAGTTTCGCTAATTTAACAAAAAAGAAAAAAGAAACACCAGCAACGAATGCTTTGTTGATATGGGACAGCAAATGACCGTAGTGAGAACAAATGATTTGTTACTTACAATTTGCTCTAACCAACGCTTTTGTGATGGAGACATAACTAATCCGGCTTAACCTAAATAGACGAAAACCAATGTGATTCGTATTTCAGGCAGTTGGGCTTGGTTCTTTTTCGAAGAACTTTCTGAACTGCTGGTTCGCTGGTGCAATGAGTCAGAAAACGAAACAGAATACACTTGTATCATTCTAACTGATTGCACCAGTGTACATTAGTTCAGGAAGTTCTTCGTGAAAGAACAAGCCTAACGTTTTGTTGAAATGACAAATGATGAGAAATAATTTGCAACGCCAAAAGCCGTCACACAAAATGGCGTAACCGCATATGCATAGCATAAGACCGTCTCGACCAATGAGCATCTAGCATAAAGTAGTCACGTTGATTTGCAGAGCATGCTCATCGAGACGGTCTTACGCTGTGCATATGCAGCTATATCATTTTGCGTGTGACGGCTCTAACTCCTGTTTCTTTAATGAACATCAAACACTGAACATGCTTTTGTCCAGACAACATAGAGAAGCTCTTTCGCTTAAAATGACAAGCATATAAAGTTAATAGTAGAATTTGAAACATATATAATTAAAACAAGAAATGACTGACATAATCTGTAGTAATTGTTTCTTCATGTGATTACAGTTACAAGTACTGAACATTCTTTCTCCAGTGTCTCTAATTTCTAAGTTTAAAAGAGCGATAAGACCAATAAGAGCTAAATGCTGGATGTCCGTGCAAATGTAATGTAATGGGGAGGATAATAATGTTTGTAGTGTTAACGCACGCGTCGGACGGACTTTGCGATCTTTTTTTTTATTTTAACGTACGCGGTAAATCGTACCTTCCGCTGACCCTGATACCCCCAATTTTTTGTGATCCTTGTATACACCCCTATTTATTAAATATTTCCAATGCGCGTTGATTCATTTTTTAAGTTGCAAAAAATATTACTTCAGCCAGGAGTCGAACTTGTGGATTATCCTCCCCATTACATTACATTTGCACGAACATCCAGCTCTTATTGGTCTTATCACTCTCTTAAAGTTAGGTTTACCATCAAAGTTTTGAATACATTTAGCTCTAACTTCTGTTTCTCTAATGAACGTCAAACAGTGAACATGCTTTTGTCCCGACAACATGAGGGATTCTTCCCCTTGAAATGACAAGTGTATAAGATAAGTTTTTAATAGTAGAATGTTAACTGAAACATACATAATTAAAATAAGAAATGACTGACCATAATCTGTAGTAATTGTTTCTTCATGTGATTACAGTTACAAGCATTCTTTCCCCAGTAAGAAAAGCAAGCCTCTCCCCGTCGTCGTCTGTCCGTTGACCCTTACCTTGCTATGCCTTCTTGGCGCCCATCGTCACGTCTCCGCGAAATACGGAAGAATCCCGCGCCGGGTATCTGCCGGCGGTTTATCGCGGCGCGCGCACGCGGCGGCGGAACGCGCGTTTTCGCGAAGTCGCGCGCCGCGATTGCGGAAACGCGCGCGTGTTACGGCGCCGGCGTAGCCGTGTAAGCGTGTAACTGGCTCGGTATTAACGTGGTAAATCCGCCTGCGCGATTTTTGTATTCATTGCGCGCCGTGAGCGAGATAAGAAGAGAAATCCGGGGCTGAATAAAGATACTCCTTTTTCTCTCCTCCAGCAGCGTCTCCTCCTGCTCCTCCATCCCCTGCTCCTCCGCATTCCGGGATTGTGATCATATGCATAATTTCAACGCCGTGGCGGCGGCGGTGAAAAGTGCACGTTCTCGCCACAGTTAACTCGCGATGTTAATTTAGCTTCCTCGCGGCGTGGATCGATACGCGCATCCCGCTCGTCCCGTTCGAGCGAACTTCCGCGCCAATTGGACACGCTCAGTGACGGCCGGTGTCCGCAAGACGTTCTCGGTCATTCGCGCCGAGCCACCCCCCAAGGCATTATCCCCTTATCGTATTTACCGTTGGCAACGCGTTACATCGCTGGCTCACAGGGGGCGGTTTCGCGCGGGCTGACCCGATGACGTTCCGCGTCCGGTCCCGCGGTCGTTTTTTTACACTTAACATACACGACACGTAAAAGTGCCCGGAAACAACTGGCTCGAGCGACTGGCGATCGAGCGTTGCGGTGTAAATTTTTATTCGGGATTTTTTCAGGCCGTCCCTCCAAATGGACGTCCCACGATAGCGCGGACCGCGGCGCATAAATATTTCGTACGTCATTGCGCGGAATAAACCGAAAGTTCTGTATTGTTTTAATTATTTCGCTGGCCGCCCGCGGGGCGTGCGCTCGCTCTATCGTTCGGCGATTAATATAATTTTGAATTTAGCCTCTCGTGCGCGCCTCGACCCCGCGTCGCAACAGTTCGCCGACGATGAGAGCGTCGGGACAGTCGGCGAGGTCGACGGCAGCGGGTCACCCGGAGGGGGGGTGGGAGCGGGGACGGAAGTGAGGGAGGGGGAGGGGAGTATCGCGGTATAATGAAAAATGAACATTTTCTCACGGCGGCGACACACTCAAGCGATAAATTCCGTAAACTTTCGTCGTGAATATAGTGGCGTGCCTCTTTCTTCCCTTTTTTTTCGCGGAAACTTTTCAACTGGCTAAAGAAGCAACAGGGGTAGAGGGACGAGGGGGACGGTTGTACCACGATTGTTTCAGTGGGCTGGGGGAACGGGGAGGGGGGGGAGAAATATGGTCCTCTGACAAGAGGATGCGGAGGGGACGAGAGGAGGGAGAGGGAAGGTGAAACGAATTAACTAAACGCTCGTCTAACGGCCATTCAGGAACGCTCTGTATGACGTCCGTCGCTCTTTTCGAACGAGGGTGCGATCGATTGGACGGCACTTGTCGCGCGTTTGTCCGCCCGACGCGCCGAATTTTCGGCTATCGGGGCCAGTTCGCGACAATTTCCTCCTGTTCTCATGCACTGTTCTCTTACCCCCTTGAGTGAGTGCCGCTAGAAGATAGAGCCTGGTCACTTACCCCTCAAAATGGCGTATTTGCATGGCGCGGACGACTCGTGTTGGCGAAGTGTCGGCGTTGCGAGTATCAAGTGAAATGTGCTCCAAGTTACTGTTTTCATCATATTTTATCGCGATTATAATAAATTTTGGTGATTAGAATTATCATTGTCGCAAATACTGTAATACAGATCAGTATATAATTAGCAGCAACTTATTAAACCTAAAATAAAAAAAGTGTTAAGAATTATATCCTTTTTCCAAAAAAGAATAAATATAAAAAACAATATAATGGCAGAACAATATAATGAATCAGTGTGATTGGTTACGCCATTTTGAAGGGTCTGACTAATGAAAAAACATCCGAAAAATGGCCAGTGTCTTCTAGGAACACAGTGCAGCGCAATGTCGTCGTGGGGATCACGACGAAGCGCAACAAAGCGAGAAAGCAGGCGAGAATACGACGGAATATGTAATACTGGCTAGCGGCTTGTGTTGTCGATGTTGTCGACGCGAAGTCGGGTCTCCGCCGTGTCGATCGGCAAAGCCGGGTTGGCGATGTTGCGGAGACGTGTCGGAGCGACCTTTGCCGGTTGACAAACACCCCGCCGATCGGCATGCCGAATTAATTACCGCCCTCCCCGAACTTTGTGAACATCGGATCCGGAGGATTTCAAACGATCCGGCCAATATTAGATCATTCGGTCGCACTCTACGGCCGATTATCGAACACGTCGTATCACTCATAGTCCTATCCTCGTCGCGGCAGCGCGCGCTCGCACCTTGAAAACCGATATTAGGCGAGTCATCGACATATGAATATATATGAATATATAAACGGAGCATTAGAGCAGCTATAGACTTATAAAATAAACTGCGCGCTTTTACGAGACAGCGAGAAGGATAGAGATGTGTTGAGTCAAACGCTCTCTCTCTCTCTGTCACACAGTGCTCTAGAAGGGGGGCTCTTGTAATGTAAAAGAAACAAAAGAGAGAGTGAAACGAGTAGACTCCTATTTTGAGAATCTTGATTTGTCTATAAAAGTGTCTCTAAATGTGATTGATAAATCTATTAATTAACCTTCAGTCACATTTAGAGGCGTTTTTGTAGCTTCGAAAGCACCATATAGATCAATCACCTACCATCACTTCTCCCCTACAAATGATGGACGATGTCCTAACTCTATATATATCTATGATTAACAATGGGGATATCAATGTTCGAGGCAAGGGAGCGAGTATGTGTACTTGGGATATACTTGGGGTAACTCCGTATCAATAATAGTATATGCGAGCTGAAACTGGCCGAATTATAAGTCTCACGCTTCCACGAGTCGCACAAAGTGTCAACTTATGCTGCGTCTTTATATTCACATATCGGTGAAGCGCCACGAGCTCTCCGCCGAAGCGGCTATAAGAGCAGATGGGAAAAAGAGCGACGTTCAAAACTGAGCACAAGGACTGCGTCTTGATCGCGACGCAACCAATTTTTATCGAATCGCACGCGTCTGCTCACCTCCGGGTCTGTCTCGATCGCGTTTACGATCTCAATTCACAGGGACGATCGCACGCAGCTCGCGCGTTGCGCCCCGGGGGTTGCAAAGTGGATCATCCGTATAGAGAGCGTCGTTCCCGGCCGTTCCAGCCGACCGAAGCGAAGCGTCGTCGTCGAGGTCGGCGTGCGATCTCGGCAAAGACCCGATCAGTTTCGGTGGCGGCGGCGGCGGCGGCGACGGCGTCGTCGCGACGATGCCGATTATATTGCAGACGTGGCTTAACGAGGCGTGTTACCGTGTGTTTGCAGAATCCCGGCAGCTGATTATCAAGAGCGTCAACGTGCCCGCCGTAGTGAAGGCCGGCGACACCGATTACGTCATCCTCGACTGCGACTACGATCTCGAGAACACGTCGAGCTCGGGCCTCGTCGTCAAATGGTATTTCAGCTCCAACGAGCTGTTTTACCAGTGGATTTACGGCAGGAACCCTCAGGCGACCGAGCTCGCCAGAAAATACGTCGACTTAACGTACAAAGCCAGCGACGATCCGTACACTGAGTACCGAGCTATGAAGCTGAATAAGCCGGGCGTCGATCTTACCGGCGAGTATACATGCGTGATATCCACCTTCGAGGATGAGCGAACGGCGAACGCGTCGATGGTAGTCTACTGTAAGTGTCTCTCCTTCTCTACTCCCGAGACTGGGCTGGGTAATGCACCCTGCGAGCCGTGATCGTTCGCACGGGTTCTCACAAGGGGGTTTCGCACACCTGTCTCGCGCGCTGCCTTGCGAATAATCGTACGGTTGAGTTCGGTTCGCGCGAATATGTATCCTCGTCGATGCGACTGAGCATCGGGAAGAGTCTCTCTAAAGTGCAATCAGTGTATTTTTCACGCTACATTTATAACTGCTGGTTCAGTTATAAGTGTAGCACTGCGATCAGCAAAATCTCGTTGAAAGGATCAGTTAATAATACACGGAGAGAATACACATGACAGTTTTCCTCTATATAAATTCTCTTTTGATCTTCTTCTTTAAATTTTACTATGTTTTCAGTAGCGCAGAAACAGATTGTCGTTAAGGTTATATGTTGCTAAAGAACGCAGGAAATTTCGCTAGCTAACATAACAGATGTTCTAATACATTTAACATGGGAATATTTCTGTTCCTAAACTGTATGAATAAAACTTGTGAAATGGAGGAATAATAAATTACTGTAAAATGCCGATCTATTCCTCGGCTACAAAATTCTACAGTCAATTTTACTGTAAAATTCTCTCCATGTTGCGACTGTTATTGATGCATTTCGCGAGCACAGTGCTGTCGCACGCAAATTGCCCGGAAGCCGTTAGTTCCATCACCACGAATGCAGAAAGTTTGATTTCGTACGGCGTATAATGAATTTGTGTACTATAGACTTTGCAGTGAAATCTTACTTCCACTGATCGAAATCAAATAAATATGGAGCGATAAAATAAGTATGTTTTCATTGAAAATCAGCGAATACTCGCTGATTATCGGTGAAGTAGTTTTTTTACGGATACAATCGGAAACATTTTTACTGACTCACTTTAAGAGAGATTATTTATTTATCTCCGACAGAAAAACAATGTCGAGAGAGAAAGTATGTTGTGTGTATCTATGTATTTGTATGTATGTGTGAAAGAGAGAGAGAGAAAGAATTAGTTAACTGCTGGATACTGTAGCACGATTGATTTTCTTCGTTGCAGCGACCGAGGAAAAGTTCGACCTCGTGTACAAGAAGAAGGCGATAGATGATAAAGACGGAGTCGAAATAACGTGCAAGGCCGAAGGGCTTTATCCTCAACCGACCCTCGACATCTCCGTCGAGTAAGTAGTAATTTGTAAAATATACGGTAGAACGTTTTCGAGACAGTATAGAATCTCGCAATTTTGTACAGAAGGAACAGATTATCGTCTATCGTCGTAAATGGACTCGTTTTTTTTTTTAATGTGCGAGACGCATCTCGGCTTTTCCTAATTTATTCGAGAGACCAACAGAGAGAGAAAGAAAACGACGCGTCGGATAGAGATATTTTAAACAGAATTGCGCCTGATATTTCTGCTTTAACTAATCCTTTATAATTGCGCTGGCGTTGCAGGGGTATACCGGAGAAACTAGCGAGGAAACCCACCGTAACGCTGCGTGACGATGGACTGTACGATATCTTATCGCGCGTGGCCTTACTGGACGAAGATTTACCGGAAGCGACGATTGTCAAATGCTTGCTCGGCATACCGAAGGCGACCTACAACGTTTCCCGCAAAACCGTCTATTACGCTGGTAAGTGATGAGTTTTTGCTTTAATGGCTTTTCATCCACAACCAGAGAGGCAGAGAGAGAGAGAGAGAGAGAGAGAGAGAGAGAGATTTGACGAGTACACAAGCACGAGATCGCTTTGAAAAGATTTATACACATGCACATTCCGCTTTCGGTGACCAATTACGACACAATCATTTTTGAAATCCGCCAGCTCCCTCGAAATCGCTCGTGCAATCGATGAGACGTTTTCTCCGCGTATATGCACGACCGCTTTTCACTGAGCAAAACCCTTCCGGGCCCTGACCTTTGGCGAAATATCTTTTTTTTTCTATCAATCAATGCCGCGGCACTTCCACGTTTTGGCGGAAAACGCTGGGACGATCGCCAGAAATTTTTAACCGTGCATACGCTCGCGCGTAGCCGTTTCTGGTCGAGCAGAACCCTTCCTGGCTCGGACTTTTAGCGACCAGCTTATTTTCTTTCCCGCTGTTTCACTACGGAATTTTGACACCGCGATTTTTCATATATTTCTCGCATTTCCGCCGTTTGTTCACCGCCGAAACTTTTGGCACCTACCGTTTACCGTTCGTTGTATTTGGACGACTTCCTTTTTGCGAACATGCTGGATACAAGCGAGTATGAATTTCCGTTCAAAGAATATTCTAAACTTCAACGAGCCGTCGATCCAAATTACACGGAGGAAATAATTAATTGTGTTTACGTGACAATAAACGTAGCAAACGCGTTTTCGCAGAAGGAAATAGAATGACTGGTTCGTTACACTGAACAGAAATGAAAAGCATTTATATTAGGTGGATACTAATAATATATTTAATAAGAAAATATACATCTTCTGAAACCTTTCCTTTTTATAAAAAAGCAATTGTTTATTCTATTTAAATAAAAGTTTATTCTATTTAAATAAATCTTTACTTTTCATAAAAAAGCAATTGTTTATTCTATTTAAATAAAAGAATTTAGATTTGAATAAATGCATTGTTAGTATCCAGCAAACGAATTATTTTTGACTTTTTAGATTTTTTCTCTCAGTGTATGAACCAAATTCGACCCGAAAAACCAGAAATGCCGTTTCCTTCAATCAAAACGCGTTTGATACGTTCATTGTCACGTTACTTCAATTAATCCTTTTTTTTCACGTACATTTGCAAGCGCAGCAGGCTATCGACACAAATATCTCTGTATAGAGCGAATATTATAGTTATTTTTTTATATAAATTTTTTTCAATTTTTTTATGTTTTCAGTAGCGTGTATAGACTGTCGATAAGGTTGGTCTTGCTAGAGAATATAATAAAATTCGCAGTACAAATCTTTTGATAACATACATTTCATTGTGTTTCTCTCAAGTATAAATAATAATAATAATGTAATAATAACACATTACATTTTAAACGATGTGTGATTAAATAATATATAACTTTAACATATAGCATATATGAAATGAAAAGATAATGAGTTGTTGCAGAACGCGTCGATTTATTTCTCGCTTACAAAATTCCGCGCACGAGAATTTTTACTGTAAAATCCTACCCGCGTGTACACACTTCACGGCGAGGTAAACGGATGAAAGGTGGGATGAGAGGACCGTCATTTCGTCGCGATAATTGTTCGATTCGATCCGTGCGGAGACACGCTGAGAGAAGAAGCCGGTCGCTTATCTCGCGAGCCACCCTCTTAGATCGCGAGCGCACACGGCGATAAGTGTTAGGGCCGGTTGTTCCAACTTCTTGGTAAGTTAACTGATAGTTAAATCATACGTCTATCTTCGTTTTTCCTTCCAAAGACGGACATATAATTGGACTATCAGTTAATTTACCAAGAAGTTGGAGCGACCGGCCCTTACTCGCGCACGCGCGCTCGCGCCTAAAGATCTCTCTGTTAAGTGATACATGCTACTGAACTGATATCCAGTTTCATCGTGCATTCAGGAGCGCACTTTAGAAACGATAAACTCGATACGTTTGGCATGGCGTAGCACGGTGTATCCGGAGCGCGAGCGTATGTCGTGATGCCATTGCGACCCTCATAAACTGGCGGACGTATCATTTGCATTGTTCGCGGCAAGATGACCGATATAACGAGAGTGGAACGGTGTCCTCGGCCGTGCGATTAAATATACAGCCCCGCGGGTCGAAAAGATCATGTCAGTTGAGCGCGCCGGGTAGCCGTGTCTCGCTTGTTAGAGCGAAAATGGTCGCAACTTTTAGTTGTGTAATTAGAAAGCGGGCTTGACCTCGTTGCACAATTAAAAATCCAGAAAGCTTTGCTTCTCATATATTCATGCGGGTTCGAAATTTTCTGAGACTGATAAAGAGAAAGGAAGAAAGAGAGAGAAGGAGAAAGGGAGAGAGAGAGAGAGAGAGAGAGAGAGAGAGAGAGCGCTTACATTTTATTCTTAATTTCGCGGCTGCACACGCTATTTGTTATCATTGTTGGTTATTATTATTATTATTATTATCATTATTAAAAGCGACGTGTACAAAGCGGAGTTGTGTTGCATATGATTTTTATATAATTATACCTATGCGTACATCCCGTAATTAAAGAAGAAATTCGTAGCGGCATCGCGCTCGCATATTCATACCGTGCGTCGGCTTAGAAAGTCGTGTCCGGCGTGACATTATTCCTCTATTAAGTTGTAGTTCAACGTACCTCGCGCGAGACATAGTTATCCGTGTTGTTGTAATTGTTTTTTTTTAATAATTTATATGTACACGATATTAAATTTTTTCCTGTCTGTTTCTCCGCTCGTCATCGCGCGACGAGAGGGAAGATTAAAATTAATTATATCGGCGGATTAATGAAACTGAATGAGGCAAATTAATCGCGCTAAAAGTGTCCTTTAGTTTTGGAGAATTACCTTCGGGAGGTGGGTATAGGGGGAAAAGATCGAAAGAGGGGCAAGGAAAAGAGAGACAGACAAGAGATGCAAATTCCTCAAATTGACCGGTTGGACAGAATCGTTTAAAGAGGACGCGTGTGTTTACACTGGGCGATCTAAAAATAAGCGGGACCTCAATTTCCGCAACTTCCGGAGGGGAATTTCTCACGCGTAGTACGGCCGATCTTATTACGGTCGAAATGCCGTTAAGCCTGCAACGTCGGAAAATACGACGACGATATCTCTAATAGCGCGCTCGAGTGGCGTTATCGAGTAAACGTATTAGATACTTAACCGATCCAGGAATTACTTGGATGCGATTCATCGCACCTGCACTCGACTGGTAACAAGATCTCGTCACTCGCCTCCGCCTCGCGTCTACTTGACTTCCGCGCGAGAAGTAGCGCGGAACGTCGAGTCTTCTTCCGACTCCTGTTCATCCCCGTTACATTATTGCATGCCCTTCGCGACGAAGTGTAGTAGCATAGCGTAGACGTAGACCACCGGGGTAGAGCCGCGGGAGAGATTTGTCGCGTGGCGTTTATGATGATTTTGTTGCGCATTTTGCAAAAGATATCTATGCTGAGCTGTGTGACAGATGTGACATGTGATATTTGTTGTGCAGGAACGCTTACTACCACATCAACCACCACAACGAAGCTGCACCGTAAAATGGAGATCCAGGCCTTAGACAAGTCAGAATCTGATAATAGTGGTGGTAAGGCTCCAGATGTGTTAAATTCTCTCTCGCACACTCGTTTCGCGTGACTTCGCGCCGCAATTGTGTCGCTGGACCACCACCGCCCTCCCCCCTCCTCCCCCCTCCTCCCCCCC